TTTAGGGTTTATTAAACCCTAAACCCAAAACCCTTAGCTTTGGCGGATGCATTCAGAAGATGTGCTTGACCTACAGACCTACAGAAAGTTGGTGTCCCCGCACCTGCAGCGTTTGCGGCTACCGGTCCAAGCGCGTCGCACCAGAGACGAGCCTCCATTCGCAGAAGCCAGGGCCAAAGATCCCCTTTGCCAACTGAGCTTGCGCGTAGGCCGTGAATTTGCTTACACAGGCATTTCTCCCTCCATGGCTTCGGGACTTTTTGTTGGCGGTGGCCTGATTCCGTGTGCCTCTGCAGCACTGGGTGGCTTCGTCCTGCCGCGAGCGAGACCAATCTAAAATTACAAGAAACTGCCTTCACCCTCAGCTGCTAGGTCCGTCTGTTCCTGGAACACGCGTTGCTGTGTCCTCAAGATTTTGAACGCAGACTTGCCGGTGTGGCGCGTGTGTCATCCGTGAAGTCGTTCAGCACGCGCTTTACAGAAAACTACAGCTGAAGATTCTGGCTTTCTGGAGCTGGGCCAAGGCAAAAAGCTTTCTCATGCATCCGAGCCGAGCGCTGCCAGCTTCAGAGCACCCGCTGCGGGAGCCTCGTACTTCCAGTAATTCCAGATGTCAGGTCAGGCTCGGCAACAGCCTCATGAACGTAGTCAGATTCGTGACAAGCTCTTCCAGCCAATGAAGACTCCTACCCCCATGACAACATATGACAACTACTCATCACCGCTATCAGCAAGCGTTTCCCTCACATAGACTCACAATGCCAAAGTTCCTTTTTGGCTATGAGGGTAGTCTCCACTTCATCTCATGGCAGTAGGCCTTGTGCTAGTCCAGAATCTCTTGACTCATTGATTGCACCTGCGGCTGCTCTTCTTTTTCTTCTTCTTGTTGTTGCTGCAAGAGGTGTCCTCCTCTGTGACTAAGCGAGGCCCCGGCGAAGCGAGCGGGCAGTTCCCAAGGACCAGGAGCACTTACCTGTCTGCATGGCTGCCCGACTGACAGACCGACTGACAGACAGACAGACTGACTGAATGACTGAATGAATGATTGAAGCGGCATGCGCGCAAGTCCTGTTGCCACCAAAGGCGACCGATGCGCCTGTACGTCGACTTCCTGGATAATTGATGATTAAGTTTCCCCAAAGCCGGATAGACGAGACGTGTCTGCCTGCTTCAGATTCCACGGCCAGGGATTGCGAAGCCCCCAAGGGCTTGAGATTTGGCCATCGGGGGTTGCCCTCCGCTCAAGGAGCTCTGTGGTTAGCCCCTTCCTAAGAAGCAAAAATTTACCTGAGCTCGTGGACACAATGAGAGGAGGATTCCGTGAGAATTACTTTCCCATGACATGCAAAAATGCCCAGATCTCAAGTTTAGCACAAAGCTGGTTCAGAAAGTTGGGGAAAGCCAGCGAGGATCAAGAGTTCATTGTTGGGCCCATGAACACCTGACACAGACCCCACTACACAAGGACTCGGCTTTTAATTTGTATAAAAATGATGGCCCTAGGTTATAGGCAGGAACAGGAACGGTGCAAAGCCGAATCTTCGACTGGACTGAAGGAGTTTGCTGCCACTGCTTTGGGATCTGCTTCCACAGCCATTCTGGTGTTGAGCTCAACGTTCTCCAACGTAGTCTTAGTAAAGATCCTTGTTTGACCTCGCTGCAGTTCCCTATCTCTGCCTGTTTCGCCGTTCCCACGAGGTCACTGCAAGACGGGCTTGGTGCTCAGTAGTGTTAGCGTAGATTTCTGCGACGCATAGGACTACTGCAGTGAGCCAAGGCCAGCAAGAAGAGGGGGCAGGCAAGCAGACCTCCGTTTCTTCTGAGCGACAGCAGATGATACCAAAATTCCGCATTTTGCGTGCAGACTCTCAAGCAGAAATCTTCAAGTAAACTTTGCGCACATTGCCAGTGCCATGCATTGTGTCTTGTTTACAGCTGTCTTGTTTAGGCTCGCCGGCAATTCTGCGCGCGCGGTGGTGTCCGCAGCTGCGCGAGTCCCGCACTAGCAACACAACTTGGCACACAGGACGACTCGCCGATTGGTGTCTCTGTGTGTGTGTGCGCGGGTTACAGTGGCTGATGCATCTATGCAGCCTATCGCAGACTCAGGGCTTGTAAGAGGTCGCGTTTCTGCTCTTGACAAAAAAGGACCCTGGGACAAGCCTGGAGCAAGGTGTCTTTGCTCACTCGGTGGGAGAAGCTGTTCGGGCTGCGTTTGCGCACAGTCTGGTGACCTGCGGCCCGGGTCTTGCTGGCAGCCTCCGGGCACTGGGGTGGACCCTCTACTCCACACTGCGGGCGTTCTTCGTCACGGCAGTAGCTGCCCAACTCTGCACCAGCACGTTTGCACATCAATGCACTTATTGGAGATACGTTCTGCCCTGGTACCTTCTGAACAAGAGCGGCGTGTCCGACCAGACTTTGGGGCGCTTGCTGGGCGAGCTGACACACGACCCTGAACTCAAGGAACTCTTCAAGGAGCACGCGCGCGTGCGCGCTCTGGAGCGCTGTGGTGTGGAGGAGAAGCGGAGAATCTCGGAGCTGGACCTGGCACACTGGGGAGGCTGCCTGGCTTGCCAGTACTGGGGTGTCTCGCCCCTAGCATTCCGGCGTGATTGGGATTTGCATGTGCGACTCGCCGCCGCGCTTCATGTGCTGGACGACTACTTGGATCAGCACGAAGACCAAGGGTTGGGGGCCTACAACTACTTTGTGAACCATCCCGAGCCCAAGGAAGTGGCCTGGTGGATTCAAGAGACCCTGTGCTGCCGGGCACATTTTGCTGAAACTGGTCAGCTGTCCATCGTGCGGCTCATTGACGGCTCCTTGACTTTCTATGGCTTGGCCGATGAGTTCATGTTTGGGACCTTCTTCGCTCAGTGCGACACCAACACCCCAGAGTTTGTGGCACCCCGAGGCCTGATTGCCTGGAGGTGGTTGTTTGCTCGGGTGTTCCTTAGATAGCGGATGGGAGAACTTTACGCTTTTGGGCCTTATATATTCGGTCTATCCCAACAAGTTTGAACTTTTTGGGCCTGGTTGTTGAAGAAAAGAGGTTCTGAGTGCGATTTTGGCGTGGGACGATGATCGTCTTCTGCGCGAGAAGCTCTTACAGCTTGATGCAGCTGTTGGACTGTAGCGACGACATCTTCCGGCTTGGGAACTTCCAGGCAACAATCGCCTTCTGCAGGCATGCCTCCTCACATGAAGGACCCGCATGATGCGGACAAGCCTGATGTCGTTTCTTACTACGTGTGAACATATCACTGTAGGTAGTTATTTTCGGTGGTGCTTTCCTCGGCCGCCTTGATTTTTGGTTTCGAGCGCAATTCGGTCGCTTGCCAAGCAAGATATCTGCCTTGATGGCCATCAGTCGCATCTTTTGCCAAGCAAGATCTCTGATTGCCGTCTGTCAGATAAGATCCCGCAAGGTGAGGATTATGCAGAAATGAGAACACTTCGGAATCCAGCAGGTGGGCATGCAGCAGAGGTGATTAAGACTTCAGTCCTATTTCGCCATGGCTTGCTGCCAGCCTGCCAATCCTGTCGTTCTTAGTCTTTGTCTTGCCCGCCACTCTGCACAGAGTTTGCATCTTCGTATGCTATAGAAGACAAGGGGTGGCTGTCGACAGCGACAGCCTTGTTGGTGGTTGGGGCTTTTGGAGTTCCTGCCTTCGAACGCCTTTCAAACACCCCCGCCCATCTTCAACCTGACCCTGCGCACCCAGTAGCGAACATTCTGCCAGGGCACAGATCTTGCCTTCAGGGACAGCCTGGAAAGCCGAGGTTTGGAAGCACAGGAGGAACTCAAACTCACTAGCCAAGATGGCATGTACTGCATAGGACAGAGCGTGCATTGTCACAAAAGTAGACAGGAACAGTAGCGGCATGAGCTACGAGGGGTCCTTTTGTGTGGTCTAGTACGTGCTTTGAGTCTGAACCCAAGGATAATTCCATTGAGGCTGCATGCTGTTCGGGCTCTGTGAAGGGACAGTTGTTATGGTATGCAGTAAATTCTGCACTTGGCAGGGAGCAGTCCTGTAGAGCAGGTGCCCGCATGGCCTGGGGATGAGGGCGGTCGGGTAGTCTTCGGGTGTAGAGTGATGTTCAGACGCGGAAGCATGCAGAATGACGATAGAGCCATAGTGGTTCCCAGCTGCATCGGGACCCCGAGCAATGGCAGCGAAGCTTCGTACTCTAAGTCGATCCGTAGTCCGTGCCCTTCATACCATTGAAGGTCGTGGTTCAAATCCTGTGCTTTGCAAGAGGCTCAAGCTACCAGTATCCGGCAGAGGCTTAACGAGTTTAGGCTCGATGCCGGTCATCGCTTTGTTGGCTGATGCCTCTTCAGCTAACGGCAAAGCACTCCTGGAACTGCTCCCACAAATCTCCGGGTGCCTCAGACTGCATGGGTCCCCGGAAGTTAACAGAGCCGACCCCAGAACCACAATGTGCTTGTGGTAGGGCCTGACTGAAGGAGGAGCTTCCTGATATCCAAGGACGTCCACCTGCCTCGTTGGCAACTCCCTCGCCGACTTCAAAGACCTGAAAAATCTGCCAGATGTTGATGTTGTTTTGGTGGCGGTGTTTGCAGCAGGACACTGAACCATTCTTCAGCCCAGCCATTCAAAGACCCATACATCTCACACATTTTATGCTGACCTTTCAAAAGACCACGAATACTACTGACCACTAGTACGAACGCCTGAACTGTGCCAGGAAATCCTGCAGTCATTGCTGATCTGTGGCCTCATATGACACGCTTGAAGTGGATCCACAGCCTGGCTGCGGGAGTAGACACGCTGGTGCCGGTGCTCAACTCTCTGCCAGGGGGTTCGGAGATCCCGTTGACCAATGCCAAGGGAGCTTTCTCGAGATCCCTGGCCGAATACTCCCTTGCAGCAATGCTGCATTTCAACAAGCAGATCCCGAGATTACAGAAAAATCGCACGACAAAGACTTGGGACAAGTTCATTATGAACGAACTCCACGGACAAACCGTGGGATTCATTGGTTTCGGCGATATCGCACAGTGCACGGCGCGCCTTTGCAAGGCCTTTGGCATGCGGATCCTTGCGTGGCGGAATACCCGAGGAGCCTCGGGTGAGGAGTTGGCCGACGAAGTCTTCTATTCCAGCGACGGAGTTGGCGCGAAACAGGTGGGACCGGTTACAGTGTCGGATGATGTGTTCACTTGATGCCATATGAAAGGTGGTAAATTTCAACAGACAGGAGTGCAGTCGGCTGTCTGAAATATCGCAGGAAGTCTTCAAGCAGTCAGACTACGTGATCTGCTCACTGCCTGGTGGTGCCGCAACTTACCACTGCTGTGGGGAATCTTGGTTCTTTATGGCAGGGGACGGTATTCCGTGGTCGGTATTTTAGTCGCAGAGAGTTTCTAGAAATATCGCAAAGCTTGCAGCAGCCTCTATGCCAAGGCAGATGAGTTCCAGGCAAGGCTGTCTTGAACGGGTCAGAAGAGCCCGTAAAGCCGGTTGCTAAAGACAAGAACAAGCCAAAGAGGGTTGCAGCTCTTGCGCTGTTATGTACTACAAGAAGAGAAATGTGAACTGCAAGCCACACGTGAGAAGCCCTGAATGCGACAGAGCGAAGGCCATGAAGCCCACCTCTGTCTTCATCTCCATGGGTCGAGGCATCGTGGGCAGTCAACTCTGCCTCGTAAGATGCGCGTGACCATGCAGGCTCCTGTGTAGATGAAAGCGCCCTGGTTCCAGCGTCCACGCCTCAGCAGAGGGTGGCGCGTTCCCAGGCGTCATTTCGCTGTTTTCGGGCTAGCGCCGCCCCCTTCTTGGAGGGTCGGGGGACTTAGTAAATGGGTAATAAGTAGACGTATAAGTACCTTAAAAGGGATCTTTATTGGGGGGATCTTTATTGGGGTTATGGTAGTTCTAAGTCTAGAAAATAACTACATACTAAGTCCCGCGACCCTCCAAGTTTGTAGGAGCCGACTCAGTGCATCGTCGTATCCGGGGGTGCCTTTGCCACGAAATGGATTCGGAACTGAACGAATGGGCCGGGAGATCCGTGGCTTCAGCACTTCACTTGCCATCTGACCCATTTTTGGGTTCAACATTCAGCAAACTACGGCACAGTGAGAATCAGTGAGAGCTCTGCCTAGCAGGGCCTAGCAGCGAAACGATATGCCCCTGCTTTGGCCAGCGGGCGCCGTTTCAGTTGGATGCTCAGGTTGACAAGCGGCCAGATTGCAGGGGCGGCTCTTGATGTCTTCGAGAAGGACAGACTGCAACTGTCTTGCCGTGACGCCGAGCGCGCGGTTCATGCCAGGAGCCGCTGCCGGAGGAGTCTCCAGTTTGGAACTGTGAAAACTTGCTGCGCAGCTGCAGCCCACGTTAGTTCATGATAGTTCATGCATGCAGATGTACATGAGTACACAAATGCGGACATGCAGAATTGTACCCACACACACACACACACGCACCATACACCCACACACACACACACATACAAAGATTCCGTTTTCTGTGTGCACTTACATGGTATACATCTATATACATATTATATGTATGTACACATACACACATATGCTATATATACTATACGGACTTACTATTTCTGTATCATAAATAGAAGGTGTGTATGAAACGTGTATACGCTTTGTGTATGTATCATGCTCAGGTTGTTGAGCCCGCACAATGCCGACCTTACGAGTCAGCATCACGGCAGCAAGACCTACCTGCATGCACGCACGGAGACTGCCATTCCGGGTGGAGGTAGGTTTAGGTAGCCGCGATTGCCTTCGTATGTTATGGTCTCGAGGTACATGGAGCTGACCTGGAACCTGTTCCGGCACCGATTGGATGAATTCACTTCCGAGGGCTTTTCCGGTTTCCAGAACGTCGTTGACAAGACGAAAGGCTACTAAGCACGGAGACTTCAGAGTGATTTCCATCAACGTCCTGCACCTGCATCTTCACTTCCGAGCTTCGTGGGGCACACTGCAACGACCCCGAGTCAGCGCAGTCAGAGGTCAGGATCGGCAACCTCTGCTCGCTGGCGCCGATGTCCGATATACTTGCGGAAATAATGAAGGGCACGCCAACAAGGGAAGGAATCACAAAAGGGTTTGGTCTCCTCCAAAGTAACTATGGAGAGTTGGGGCTCTGGGTTGACCAACTGGCATGTTGAGGGAGAGTTAGCGGTGCGCAGGCGCACGGTGTTTACATGTAGTTCCGTGCCTAGAGTCTAGAGTGCAGAACGGTGGTCGAGAATTCTGCGATACTTGGCTCACTGTCTCAGTGTCCCCATGTGGCAGCTAGCTCCTTTGTGGTAATGTAGACAACGTGGACATGACTCTGACATGACTGTAGTGCAGGGACCTTCAGCTGATACAAGACGGTGAGAGAACAAGGGAGCTAGTAGCAGCTAGCTCACATTAGGCTGTCAGAGCAAGCGCCAAGCCACACAAGCACAAGCCTTTCAGAGCAGGGCTGCCGTGTTGGCTTCCCGCCATGGGAAACCTCCTGTCAGAATGCAAGAGGCGCAAGAACGACTTTGGGGTCGCGTAATGACTCTACTTTGCCCAGCTAGCAGGTGCACGCCTTTGGTTGATCAGTGTGATCTTTGCTGTCCTGATGTGCCGGCTGCTTAGCATACTTGGGCGTTTGTGCACGAAGGCTCATGTTGCCACATAGGAGCTGAAGCGCCTGTCTGCAGGGGCATTAAATCGCTTCGTGCGCAGAAGCCGGGCATGTTGTACGGAAAACCATGCAGGTTATGCTCCTGGAAAGCGCATGTGCGGGGTGTGGCGGGTTGAAGAGCTCTGAGCTAAAGGTCCCACCAGGGGAGAGCAGCATATGGTTTCAGGCCACAGACCTCATCAAACCCTGATTGACACTGTCTGTGGTCGCTGAAACGGTGGACCCCTACTAGTCTGGTCTTTCAAGAAGACTGCGAGCCCGTGGTGATATACATGCCCACTCGTTGGATCAAATCTAGTACAGGCAGGGAAAGGCATCAGCTGTGTTCCTGTCAGGACCCGGGCTGACGATGGGGCGCTTGGTAGGCCTCTGGGATTTTGCAGCCGCAACATTCTTGGCAACGCCAAGCTGTGACGGCGGACTCCAGATGTCTGGGCAGCTGAGTTGGAGTTCTTTTTGCAATGATCGGCTCGCAGCGACACTCAGTATCGGTGCAACTTCAGCCAACAGTGCTTCAAAAGCTTGAACATGATTCATACGCGTTAATAATTGGTCTCTTGAACAATCTCCTGCCGCGGGGAGGTTGGAGAGACGGCCATGGTAAGTGAAGATGTCCCAAGGCAAGCGGCCCCACACACACACACACACCCACACACACCCACACCCACACACACAGTACCCAGCTCCAAGGTAGGTCAAGGCAAAGCCTTCAACTCACCAAGATCAGTCTTCCCTTCCTTTGACTTGTGAAAGCACGCGAACCCTAATTCAATCGACATTGCTCCTCCGCCACAGCCTGAGCCAGTCGACGGACAGCAGAATACAAGGGAATACAACAGTGAACATGATCGTGGCCCTGCTGACTTCAGGTCTCTGGTCGCCTGCGACGTGACGCAGGATGCAACAGGCCTCACCATGCTTCCTCGCTGTAGATGAAGGTATGAAGTGCTCGGCTTTGCTCAGGGCGGGAAGAAGGGCCGAGGTCCCAAGGCACGCGGTGAACGCAAAACCTTAGACAAGTCTCAAGCTGGAGCTGAAACGGTCTTTTCAACGCCAGGCAGGTGCTCGCGCTCAGCCTGATGCTAACAAAGAGAGAGCCTTGACGTCACTTTTTCTCCATACATTTTCCGTGAACTCCCTGGCTGCTCTAGTCGGGTCAGAGCCTCTCCGGCAAGGAATGCTGTACTTCCTCGCCTGCCGCGACTTCAGCTTCAGGGTATTAAGGGGGTCAAGCTGCGCTTGTCAGGCAGCTTTAGGTTCGGACCCGACGCGCTCTGAGACACAGAGACATGTTCATGTGCTGCAGAGGTTTGGTCGGGCAGACGGTCACCGTTAAGCTGAAGAACCAGCGGCTCGGCGGCTGGTAGTTGTGTAGTTTAAAAGTGCAGAGCCGTCCCAGACTGTCTAACTGAGTCTAACTGCTAAACCTTAGCACGCCTCTGGGCCAGGACGATTTACGAGGGAGTCTTCCACAGCTGCTCCACAGAAGGCCGCTGCAGAGCTGGGTTTGAATTTGTGCTGCCGGGAAGCCACTGACATGTCAAGTGTGCTCAGGTGATCTTTCGATCACTTTGAAATCAGCCCGAAAAGTTCCCACTGGAAATGGGAAAAGTGGCGAGGCAGGATCCCAGAACTTCAAAACAGGGCTTGCACAGACGAGTTTCGAGTTGCAGGTGAAGGACGAACTGGTGGTTGCAGGAAAGGAGTTCCTGCAGGCCTCTTCTCAAAAAATCAGGGAACTTGCAGCCCTCCTTTGTCGAAGCTCTTTGAGGTGTCCGCGGCCAACGTGCCCCCGGAGCCCAAGCCGCAGCCTCGTCATCTTCCAGCCTTTTTTGAGGCTTCCCGAAATTCACCCGAAACAAGGCAGCACAGCGCCTTCAAGACTGACGGTGAAATAGCAGCGATCTTATATGGGATTTTTATGCGGGAGTGAAATGTAGGTGCTGTCCTCTGCTCAGGCTGAAGGCTGGGGCGAGGGTCGCAACCGGGAACTGGTTGCCTGGAAAAGCGGCGGTGAGGCAAAACATGTGTCGGGAATGTTGCCTTGCACCTTAAAAGCTTCTTAAAGTCTTAGGTTCATGAGCTCCTGCAAGGCGAGTGCCCCTGCCGGTGTTTCCCTCAACCTGGAATCCGGCGGTCGCCAAATCGGCGCACGGCACTCAGTAGAAGCAGGGGTTGTTGAAGCCCTTTTAGCGTCAATTGATAGCAGACGGTGTGAGCATTCTTGTCCCCAGAAGTGCACCGTGGGGTTGTGCCGAACCAGAAGATCAGCCTCCACATGCGACAGACCTGGAACCAGTTCGAGTATAACGAGAAGCAGTTTGGTATCACTAGCACCTACTCTGAGGACCTGCGCCAGCGTACATCTTGGGGCTACTGTGATGGTGAACACTCAAGATTACGGCGCAGGACCTATACACGACGAAGCTGGATCCCAGCAAAATCCCAGAGCAGAAGCGAAAAGATGTCTGGGCCTCAGACCACTTCTGGACGTTCACCGAGGGATATCCTGCACAGGCCAGAGGCAAGTTTAGGAGCTGTTTGTATCTGGATATGCGCAGCCTCGCAAGATCCAACTAAGTCCCGCAAATCCTACACGCAAGAGACCTAAACCCTAAGCCCTAAAAATCCCTACACCTTAAACCCTAAGCTCAAAACCCTAAACCCTAAGCCCTAAACATCCCACACCCACCCTAAACCCCGTCAAGAGAAGCCGGTCTCCAGGCCGAACGCATCGCCCGCGAAATTGAAAGCGGGCAGCTGCTGGGCTGAATCGATCTTGCCCAGAGTAGGGCCGACCTGGGGAGCGCTTGGCCATCTCCTCTCTCTTCTTCCTCCCCCTACATACATACATACATACATACATACATACATACATAGCACACATATTATATACATATATATAGATAATATGTGTGTGTGTATATATATATATGTATGTATACATATATATATATATACACATATGTATATGTATATATATATCTCTCTCTCTCTCTATCTATCTCTCTCTCTATGAACAATCCGCAGCAAAGCACAACCAGGTCCAATACGAGAGTGGTAGCAGAAGAACCGAGGAGCTACGGCAGGATAGAAGAAGGCGTCAATGACGTGCGAACCTCGGTCTGCCCGTGCTCGGTGCGGTCTCGTGATGCAATGTAGAGATTCTCCGAAGTCCCTGAGCGCCATCAGGACGTCGACGAGGAAGCGCAGTTTAGCGCCGTCGGCTCTTCGCAAGCTCGGGCGGCCTGCTCCAATTTGCTGGGGTTCTGCTCAACGCGACTGCAAAGCCATGAAGCACTCTAATTAACAGACCTTGTTGTTGAGCTGAGGAGCCAGTGCACGCTCCACTGACTGTGGACGGGGTTGCCAAATTGGGTAGCTACCGTACGCACTAGTGCTTCTTGTCGTCAGTCTGATTCCTTTGCTTGAGAACTCTGCTTCAGACGGCGCCTTCTAAGATTTGGGCGCAGGAGAACGTGTCGCAGCATGATGCTGCATCTGCAGCTGAACTTCATGCTGCTGATGCCGCCTGTCTCATTTTAGTGGACTGAGGATGTTGCAGGCATGAGAACCGACAGCCTGACATCCTCAGGGTTTCGCCCGAGAGCACAGGGCCAAGCGCTACATGATCACAGCGCACTCGCAGGGCACTCGGCGGTTTTGAGCATCAGCTGGAGCTCCGACGGGACTCGTGTGGAGTCCATGCCGAGTCGGATGCACTGAGGCGTGCCCCGCAGCTCTCCGAGATGAAAAGCATCAATGCCTTAAACCTAGAGTTACGGCCTCAGCCCCTTCGTGAGCCATGCACAGTCGACAGACATTCAATTCAGCTGCAAACAAGGCCTGCTTTGCCCAAGTTCGATGACAAGACCCGATCGGATTGGATCAATTTCAAGCAGTCACAGTCGCGAACGCGACAGGTGAGTTAATTAGACTTCATGCCTTCGCAAATCGCCGCCTCCGTTTATCTGCGAGGGGCAGCCACCTGCTGGAATCAAGGATGAGCTTCAGCAGTCGTTGCAGGTCAGTGGCTCTTGAGGTCACAAGCCACCAGGTCCCGGTGTGTGCACAGTTCCCATTCCGAGGCCATCCAGCAAAAAGACGCAACCCAGAAGCCGGAGCCCAAGGCACGTCCTCGGGGAGGCCCCCCGAGCTCCACCTTGTGTTCACCGTGCCGATTGAGATCCACCTGAGGTCTGCGGCCACACCAGGCCAAGCCCGAATTGAAACCACAGCCGACACGTTCCTTTGACGAGTTTGATCCATCTCACTTGCACGCCCCCGGCCAGTGCACCAGTAAATCAGCTCTCCAGCATGATCGTTTTCCTGCAATGCTCAGCGGCATCCACGCAAACACTTCCAGCTGGAGTTCTTGTGATAACCCTCCACAGTGCCAAGTGACTCGCTCAATCTTGGTCGTGAGCTGGGGGGCTTCTTGTGGCTGATGGTCGGCTGTGGACATGACGTGCCCCAAACACGAAGTTTTTCATCTTGATATGTTGCGACACCTTCCTGCGTGGCGCGCTCAAGCGCACGTAGTAGTGACCGCTTACGCAGCCGCACCACGGCCTGCGCGGGAAACATCAATGTTGGTACTGGCAGAGACTCCTCTTTGTTTGCCGCCGTAGCAGCTTCAGAGGCTGCAGAGGTGCAGCACTCCACCCTCACGCCCATTGGATGTGGATCTACGTTGTTTGATTCGACCGTATTGTCCAATGCCCGGACTTGGGACCGGGGTGACCAATGACCTCCAGGTCCGCAGGATCATTGTTTGATGTGGAAGTCCTGTTTGTAGTCGGGGGGGTGTGCTGAGACCTTTGTAATCATGAAGAGTCAGTTGTCTCATTACTGAAATGTCGGCTGTATTCCTCAGGCAGATACTTGAAGCAAAAAGTTCGTAACCGCACAACATCAGCCTCTGAAGGGATGAAGCTGGCGTCAGCAATGATCCCTCTGGTGGTAGCAGAAGCCCAGTACGCGTCAGCAAACTGGCTGGAGTATCGGAACCGTTTGTCGTTCCAGATGCAGTCTGATGTCAACTCCAGAATCAGAATGAAAGCTCTTATGCAAATGCGTGGTTTCTGGGGTTTTGGCCATGTTCTACTCCCCCACCCCTTGAACCGCTCACGGCGCTTCATCATCCTTTTCATCATCACACCATCATCATCATTCTCATCATCATCATCACCATCATCATCACCACCATCAGTATCATCCTGGTCATCATGTTCATAATCATCTTCAGCAAGAGAGCTGCAAGTAAACTCGGAGCAAGAACAACATCAAGAGCCGTCATCATGGTTATGAAAATTGCCATATTTGGGCAGGTGCCAGCGGCTCCGGAAATGCCGAAGCAAAAGGACACCATCGTGGGGTTTCCGTGCATTACCGGGCGCTCTGACTGCGGCGTTTGATTTGAGGGTTTTGTTTAAGCGTCAGGAAAGCTCTGATTTATCGTGTTGCAATCTTCTAGCATCTGTTTATCTGTCCTATCAATAATAGTGATTTCAGTGACATGGGCGAGGATTTGGCATGTGGACAGAGGAATCCCGTTTCCAGCTGAGAGCAGCTTCTTGAGTGCTGCAGCACATCATCAGGATTTCAGACGGATGCTTCTGTGCGGTGCCCAGGATATGAGAACCGGAGCATGAACTCATGATAGCGAGCTAAAAATTGGGCTGTGCCTTGAGGCTGCGGCACATGAGCCTGAGCAGGCAAGAATTGGCGACAAGTTCCGTGATCATGGGTCGGGAAAGGCTGACTTTTCGATTGCTCCCACACAGGCGCAAGAAGAGTGTGGGACCCAGGGCGGGCTTTGCGTTCCCAGCCTCGTCGGGCTCCAGAAGCTCTGCCCCAGCTGTGCGGCATGCTGAGGAAAAAGGGCGGAAAGGGGAACTCCAAGTTTTCGTTCAACCCGTCTGCGAAGGACAGGGTGAAACGGTCGTACCTTCTACCACCGCTACCACTACTGCTTCTACTACTGCTCTTCTACTACTGCTACTGCTGCTGCTCCTCGTCCTCCGCCTACTGTTTGTTACGACTGCGACTGCTAGTGCTACTGCTGCTGCTGCTGCTGCTACTACTACTACTACTACTGTTACTTCTGCTTCTGCTTCTGCTTCTGCTTCTACTATTCTACTACTACGATTACTTCTACTACTACTTCTACTTCTACTTCTAGTACTAGTACTAGTACTATTTCTGCTACTACTACTACCACTCCTCCTCCTCCTCCTACTACTACTACTACTACTACTACTACTACTACTACTGCTACTACTACTACTACCACCACCACCACGACCACTAGTACCGCTACTAGCACTACCAAAACGAATACCAATACTAGTGCCATTAATCATACTAGCACTAACGCCAATGCTTTTGCTGTTATTCATACTCACAGTCTTGCTCATACTGATACTTTTCTGGTCCTACTACTGATACCGTTTCTGATACTGTTTCTGAAACTGTTACCGATGTTGGTACTAATACTGATGTGCAGTTACTGCTGTTGCCCAGCTGGTTTGTACAGGAGTTTTCATTCAATCCGCAAGCCCGGAGCCAAGCTCTTTTCAGAACACTTTGTAGATTTCAGGATCTCTGCCTGATGCAGTCGCAGTCTTCGCAGCCGTTGCATCAGCCCGACATCCCTTTGCCAAATTCATCCCTCAGCCCTCTGTTTCTTCCACTGACATAGCCTATCTCAATCAGCTATCTTGCTTCAGGCCGCGACGTTTACGCCCACCAACGCTGCTGTGGCACAGCGTTCGGAGTCGAAGACCAGCGCTTCCCAAGGAGTGGACAGATACTTTCGAGTTTGGTGTTTGGTTTTCACTATTCCGGCTGCCGAGTTCACTGTTACAGTCGGAGTTTAACAAAACCCGTGACCCGAAATGAAAGGACCCCTGTCTGTAAAGAAAGAAGCACCGCCAAAGAGACCCCTTTGTTGTGTTTTATGTTTTTTTGAAGCTGGCCGAGCAGACCTTGCATGGTGGATGCGGAGAGGAGCGAGGAAGAACGACTCAGCACCTGCACACACTGAAAAAGCGATGGTCAGGACCTTACGATTTCTATCATTCCGGAGTCGTAAGAACCGCAACAACAACAATGGCGATAATGACAAGAATCTGAGAAGGTTCATAATGACAAGAGCAGAGTAGTACTGACAGCAGTCATCATCAACAAGCCACGGATACAATCGGAGCATCGGCAGCAGTTCAGATGCAAGGTCACCGCACACTCGCAGCACTTCACGTTCTTAGTCTGCACTTTGGGCATCTCAGCCCGCGACAGCAATAATTTTGCCTGCAAATGTCGCTGACAGCACCTTTCTTTCAGCACGCGAGATGCAGAACTCTCTGCAGAGGCAGGCATCGGTGTTTGACCTTTGGCCGGATTGGGTCAGTTGCCGTGTGTGGACTGGCATCTACATTCTGAAAGCTTGGAGCTGCCCTTTCCAGTTCAAGGCACCTGGGCCAGTGAACAACTCAGCGGCCTCTCGTCAGCCGACGCTTGTCTGAAGTAAGTCCCAGATGCTCTCACGAGAGCCGGATGGAGGCGTGGGGTACTGCTGCAAGAAGGATGATCCCAATTGTTCTAACATGTTCTAACCGTTTCTCATTCGATTTGAAGGAGGAATTTGGTTGCGAGCCTCTTGTCAAGACAGCTCGCCTTAAAGCCTTAAAGGTGCATGTCTCACTCACAAATATCCGCGGCTCATGGCCCCCTCTGCTCAGGACCAAGTCGTTTGCCGAGTTTTTAAAGCCAGTCCAGGCCTCGGAGTTCAAGAGAAACCCAGGTAACCAACAATAGCAGAAATACGTAATCATCGCAAGAATAATATTAAATAAGAATAATCATGAAAATAGTGAATAATAATGAATAGGAATGAATAACACTGAATAATAATGAATAATATAATATTGCTTCTTATATCTTAGACAATGCTAGTAAGAAAGAAGTAACAAGGATAGTAGATACGAGCAACAATAATGATCTACTGCCACCCAAGAGTTGATCATGGCAGTGCTAGTCATCATAAGTAGTGATCGTAGTAATCGGCAACACAGTGATATTCACATACATATTTCTGACACGAATGGCAGTAATATGAACAAGGGTCGGGATATCTCGATAGTGCGTCTTGGAGTCGTCATCAGCATCACCATTGAAGTTGCGGTGACAGCTGCGGCTATGGCCATGGCTTTGATATGTTCTTGGTGACAGTCGACATTGTCCAAACGTTCGTTGCCTACCACCATAAAACCATTACATCAACTGCGAGGACGGCTTCGACGACGACGAAGACTACAATTCCTACTGCTGCTGCTGCTGCTGCTGCTGCTGCTGCTACAACTACGACTGCTACCTCCACTACCACCACTGCCACCACTAGTGCTAGCACTTGCACTAGCACCATCCCTGCTACTACTGCCACTGCGAATCTTGCAATGCCCGTGCCTCTGGGCAATGGTGCATCGTTGGTAGATTCGTTGATCTTGCCAGCCTATCCAGAGACGTTCAGATCCCCTCAGTGTGCCTCCATGTCCTGCTCGGCCGGTCTTCCGCTTGCCACGAGCTTCCGATCCAAGTCACTTAGGTGAAGGGAGGTGCACGGAAAACATCTCTGGAAGATCTGCTGAGCAAGTCCCAAGCTTACCACGACAACGGTGACCGGCTTTTCAGAGGGCCTTTCGGAGCATGAAGCACCACATGAACCCGAGCCGGCGGCTCTGCAGACTAGCCGAGGTTGTACAAGACGTGTGAAACTGCCAAGCCGCAGGCGCAAAAAGCGGAGTTCGCATGAGACAGTTAGGAGGATCGTGGTGATTAGGCAATGACGGAAGTTCGATTTAGATTTTCGTGCTCCTGGTGCCTGTTCTGATGAAATCTGGCATGGCAGAACTGTCCGCCGACGTGGGAGACCAACGGGCCTTCCTACAAAGAGATCTTGGGCCAGTCTCGCCCTCAGTTGTTTAAGGAGATTAAGGAGTGTCCTACTGTGCCTTGGGTCAATGTCACTGACTTGTAGGCCAAATCCGGCCAACCAGATGGCAGGACCTGTGCAGTGTGATGTTGGTGGATAATGCTCTGAAACGAGAGGTGGGCATGCTGTGATGAGTATGAATTCGACAGGAAGCGCCGCCCACCAACTGCAGCAGCAAGTGAAGCAGATGCAGGCTGGACAGCACCAGCAACAACAGCAGCAAATGCAGCAGCAACAGCAGCAACAGCAGCAACAGCAGCAACAGCAGCAGCAGCAACAGCAGCAACAGCAGCAGCAGCAGCAGCAACAGCAGCAGCAAATGCAGCAGCAACAGCAGCAACAACAGCAGCAACAGCAGCAACAGCAGCAGCAGCAACAACAGCAGCAGCAACAACAACAGCAGCAGCAACAGCAGCAACAGCAGCAGATGCAGTCCCAGCAGGGCCAGTGAGTGCCTCAGACCATTGCGTTTCACTGTGTCCTTGACGCGCCTGGCAGTCTACGGCACTCTAATGCGAGCTCCATATTTGATTTGAGGCAGCAAATGGGCATGCAACTGATGCAGCCCACAGGCCCGAATCTCATCGCGCGCGAAGGTGGTGTTCCTGAACGCACTATCAAGCGGGCTTCGCGGCTGGCAGGTCCTGGCGGCCAGATGGGACAAGCAGGTTTCATCATGACCGTGCCAGGGTCCGATGCCTAGGCATGCTGCAGCACGCTAACAGACAGCACGGCTTTGTAATGGCGCACTACCGGCTGCAAACGAGGCATGCGGGGACTAGCTGCAGTAAAGGCTGCGGTCGATGTCGTTTCAGCGGGCTGAGGTGTGCCAACGGACAGCAGCCGATGATGCCGTAACTTGGCTCCAGCACGTCAGATGAAGCAAACATACGAACAGCAACCCTGCGACCGGCGAGTTTTGTGAGCCTATCACCTGCTAGCATCTCAGAGTGGACAGACAGTGCATTCTACTCAGCCGCTTCGCAAGGTTGCTTCCCAGCTAGACACTGTCCGGTCAGTGTCTAGAGTCAAAGTGGGGCGAGTACCTGATGCGAATTGGAAGAGTGCAGTGTATTGTTTCTACAAAGAGTACTCGTTGAGGGTCACTGCGCGGGCGCATAGGCAGCAGATGTTCCAGCAGATGCCGCAAGGGGCGTGCTGCTCAGCATTCTGCCGTCTTATTGTAGAGTGTTGCGCTGCTGCGTTTGCTCAGGGTGGCCGGGGAAACAATGCTCAGGGAATGCGGTCCTGCCATGTTTCGCACGGAAATCGAGTGCTTCTAGTTTCCGAGCTCCGAGCGATTCGAAAATCCCTGCCATCTCTGCCCTACCCCAACTGCTCACCGATGACCGAGCCTCGTACCAAACAAACTATGTTCCTTTTTCTCCACCAAGGTGGGAGTCCTTCTTAATTCTTCAGACTTTGTCCACGATCTGGTGATTATGCCTGGGCAGCCGGTGTGATTTTGTGATGGGAGTTCAAGTTTCTAACCGCGCTTCGCGCTTCTCGAAGATTGTACCAGTGTAACAAAGTTGACATGAGCTTTGCAGCTTTGCTTTTGCTTGTGCTGCCAGGCAGCAGAATCAACCGCAGCCCCAAATGCAGATGCAGCAGCAAGGAAACCAGCCACAGCCACCTCCCCAGCACCGTGCAGCGATGGTCCAGTTCCGCTTCATGTTTGAATGCCGATCACCAGCATAGCGGATGATGCGTGGGCAAGGCAGCAGATGGGTTTTGTGCCTCAGAACATGATGGGCGGCCAAGTCGTTGCCATGCCGAATACTTACTTTCGACTTTCGCCATGCATCAGTTCCGTGACTCCGTCGACCTTTCAATCTCGACAGGCCTGGTGCGATGGGGGCTCCACAGGGCAACATGGGCATGGCCGAACCCCTAGAGATGGACTTCTGGGGTGCCAGAATCATGGCAACATGGCCGAGCCGTGAGAGACTCTCAGGCTGGCATGGGCGCAATGCCAAAATTCGGACAGGTGGTTCCGATGATGGCCCGTAGCCGAGCCGATGGAATGATGTAGACCCAACTGACAATATGCAAGGCTATGGCCCAAAACCCATCCCAGGTGCCCGCCGGCCAATTCCCGCAAGGTTTCATGCCACAGGCGGCTTCGAATTGTTCCAGGTCTACCAATTGATCGAATTTCTGGATGGGTCTGTCCGTGGTGTTCCGTTTTGCATTCTCAAAAGTCGCTCTGTTTGAGCGGCAGAGATGCGCAGGCACAAGGCTGCATGTCCCAACCTTGGCATCGCCTTTGCACTGTTTTGAGTCCAGCCTCATGGGTCAAATTTGGCATGCTGAGGCAGCAAGGCATGCAAGGTGGCCAACAAGGAGATGGCATGATGCGGTGGCCCGAGGCTCTCAGAAGAGCTACAAGGAGGCTGCTATCGCCCTCCCTGCTCAGCACAGCTTTGCAGAGCAATTGCAGAGCCGAGGATGCAAAATCAGATGATGCAGCCAGGCGGAGGCCTCCAGCAGGGCCTGGCACATGCATTAAAGGAGCTGCGTATTCTCTCAAGACCCCAGTGGGCACAAAGCCAAAACACGCCAAGGACGGGTGGTTTGGAAACTGATAGGGTACCGCATGCAAGGAGAGCTTCGCTGATGTCAAACTCTCATGTGCCTCCGGAATGTGAGAATCAAGGTCCTGAATTCGCGTGTTCTCGTTGCAGGAAGCCTTCCAAGCCCCGAGCCTTCAGGGGGCGAAAGCCCTGAATCCGAACTGAAGCTCAAAGCCTTGGAACATCAAACGATCCAAAAAGCGCCGAGCAGGGAAGTTCTCCGATGGTATGATGAGCATAGGTTCCGAGAAAGCCCAGGGGAACCGTTACTCATTTCCTTGCGTGGCCTTTTCTTGTGCATTAGCAAATCCTGTTTGTCCGGCTACGGTCTGTCTCTTGGAGACACTTGCTGCACAGGTGCGGGTCACATGCAGGGCTGCGGTTACCGCGGCATGGGCTCGCGACTTTGGCCCTGCCAGTGCAGTTAGCGCAGCAACTGACTCCATGTAGGTCACGCGAGAACCACGGTAAGTAGCCTCAATTTCGGTAAGAAAGGCAAAGGTGATAGAAAAACTTCGATTGAATCTTACCTCAGGTCCTGGTGAGTGAGTGCCGTGAAAGTCAAGGTGGGTGTCACAGTTGCACGGGTACGGCCTGTTGCTGACGGTACGTTTAGCTTGGCCGTGAGGTTGCTTCGTCTTCGCGCGGCGCAAGTTGCACCTCTGTGAATATCCCGGGGTTGGACAAACGCAAAAAGGTTTCTTTTACTGTGGCGACAACGACTGGTTTCTGTTGACCGTGGTTTGACATGCAGCTGCGTATGAAGTGCGCAGCCTGCACTGTTTGTCTCATCCCGTCTCGAAGGCATCTCTGACCAGCAGCTTGGCCAAGCAATGCTTGAATTGCTGCGCTGATAGAGATTGCATTGCCTTCGACCCACTTGGGTTTCCGAAACTGCCCCCAGAAAATCCGATGATTTTGCACATGCTGCACATGCAGAGTCGCAGGCCAAGACGAGTATGGGTTTCGTTGCAAAGAGCCCTTGTATGGAGGGAGTTCTGTGCGGACTCTCGAAGACTCTCGAAGTAGAACCATTTCCGAGCCTGCGAACGACACCATGCACGTGTATGTGGTTGTATACAAGTAATTTACAAGTATACATATTGTATACACAGTATATTTTCACACACACACACACATGTGTAAAAAATGGTTCTTCCAGGGTCTCCTTATTTCTCTTTGTCTACTAGTCGTTCTGTCCCGTCACCCTGTTTTTCATCATGTTCATCTTGTCTTCGATTCTCTGTAGAACTAAGTGTTTTCCCGCATGATCATATAATCACATGGCATATGCACATATATATATACACACACGCATATATATATACATATATATATATATATGTCTGTCCCTTTACGTGTGGTCGGGGGCCCTCCCAGTTTCGGAGCTGCCCGCATCCCGGCAGGCATGGCATAACATGCCGAGCCCTGTGAATTTCTGGCTCCTGGCCCTGGCAGAACACTGCAGTTCAACGCAGCGTGCTCGAAGACCCCGTGTGCACCCTGGGATCAGGTCGGGATCCTTTCGTGTGTAGTTGCAATACGGAGTCCGGAGTACTGAAGTCTTGGAGCCCTTACAGATGATAGGCCAGCCAGGAGCCGTTATTCTTGAAACGTGGCTTGTCCGCGCATGGCTGCATGCAAACTGGACAGCCAACGCCCCTTTCCCGCCCCTCCCCCCCTGCATTTGTACACGCAGTTGGACATGTGCTGCTTCCCAGATGACCTGTCTTGTGTTTCAAGAGCAGGTCCTGGATGCCACCTTGTCCTACAGCCCCGTCCCGGGCAGCAATTGCCGCGTGCATGCCCGCCTTCTAAACGTGACAAATGACGGTGGTTCCTTGCATGGAGATCTCGGGCACGCACCCTGCAGTCCAGGACGGTATCCAAAAATGTGCATTTGCCTTCTGACTGTTGAGTTCGTACTGTAGTTGTTGTGATGCCATGATGAAGAATGAGGTGCAGCAATTCTGCAGAATCAGTCATCACTCGTTGGCCGAACCAAAGCAATGATCTCGCAACTAGAATGTCGTGCCGTTCGCAAAACTCAGCTGGCAGCACTTCCCCGCATGTCAGACTGAAAGACAGACTAATGCGAAGCAAAAGAGCTCTGTGCTTGTTGCTGCCTGAAGGTCATGGGTTGTTATATGTACTGTTATAAGCACTTTGCTCAACCTGGACTCGGGAGGGTACTGTCCTTGCTCTACTCATGAACATGGATAATACCACAAACCCATGGAAGGTTTAAGCAGTCTCCATAAGATCTCGCCGCAGGCGGTCACAAGCCCAAGTCGGCTTCTTAGCATTCCTCAGCCATGACGACACGAAATCGGGAAGTGCACGGCATATGCCGCGTGAGGCTGCGCGACATCATGAATATCAGCCAGCGGATATCTCGGAGGCTGTTGCAATCAGCTGGGCTTTTGGGGTCCCAGTGGTCTGCGTGCACTGCTGCGCTGTTGCAATCAGCTGGGCTTTTGGGGTCCGAGTGGTCTGCGTGCAGTGCCGCGCCCCTGCACCCTCACGACCGAGCGCCCGAGGCCAGCGGCCTGCATGCACGAAGCACATGCACACAGACAAAAGCACACGCAAACTACACACACACAGACAAACAAACAAACACAAGCTCATAAGCAAAGAGGCACGCTCGCACACAGAGAGACACAGGCTGCGCAGCAAGCTCATTCCTATTGGATCGTGAGTGTAATACTGTAGCGTCCGACCTAGCTACCCAGAATTACAGTCCTTGTAATCATTAGCAGTATTCTTCTCTTCTCCTTCGATAACATAGTATTATTACTATTATTATTACTATTAGTATTACTATTAGTATTATTACTGGGTTTAAGCTTTGGCTTTTGCAGGCCGAGCTCATGCAGCATGCGCTGCGCCTCTCGGAGCTCGAGGCGTGACGACGCAAAGCTTTTGGGTTTCGCACACGGGGCTCCAGGGTTAGAAAGGGGGTATACCGTTCAGAGGGTCTGGGTTTAGGGTCAAGGGGTTCGAGGTCTAAGGATCTAAGATTTCAGGTTCAATTAGGGTCTAAGGGTTTTACCGTAGAGCGACCCTGTTTTGCATGGTTCCCGCTACTGGTGCATATTTTCTTCTTAGTAATTTTTTCATCGTTGTTCCTTGTCTCGAGGTTATACCTGCAGGCTGTAGCACCGTTTAATTGCGACACGCGCAAGTTCCCTCACAGGTCTTCAGGCAATCGTCAAATCCTCGGCGGAAGCTCCTGCTTGTGCTTGTGCAGCTCAGGCTCAGCAGCGCGGGCATGTGGTGGCCGGCATTTTCCCGAGCATTCTGCGTTTCTTAATGACTGTGTGCACGGATGCTGAACGCGCAGCTATTTACGGTCTCCCAGGCCCTATGTAGGCAAAGCTGAAACGATAATTCCACTGTTGCTGTCGCGGGATATTCCCAAGTCGCGTCGACCCCGACAGTGTCACGAGCATTGCTGGTCTTGTCTGATGCACTGGCTCAGCGAAAATGCAGATTAACAGCTAACGAGGCCAGAAAATACAGGTATGGCTCATGCTTAACTCATGATGATGACCAGCAATGGATTGTTTACGGGGGTCTCACAACCATAGGCTCATGGGTCCTTCAGGAACTCTGGCTAGTGCTGTATTGGCTTCCAAGTCCGCCTTCCTTCAACATCACCACGCAAGTGCACCGATACGCTTAGCCGCTTAGCTCTGGCCTTGCTGTGTCGTCGGGCCTTGCGCAAAGGGAACGGATGTAATCTCAGCCAAGCAATCAACCCAAGCAGGGTGTTTTTCAAGGTGTACTCCCGTGCATTGTCTTTGCTCGTTCCTGCAGGACTATGTGGTAGCTCCCACTGCTGATGAGGCTCCCTACTTGCAGATCACCCCCTGCAAGCGGACTTCCACGATGATGACGATGACCGAGCGCTCAGACCGAGAAGCTTTCCATGGAGCCGCGTGCAGTGGATTGTTTACCAAGGGATCTCCTCAAGAGGCAGCAGAACAGAGAGCCAGGCCAGCAACGACTAAGCTGAATCCCTGGAGGATTTCGTGAGATCACAGATCGCGGAATATGGTGGTGATGCGGTGGTAGCTGTAAAACCGACGGTTTCCTCCAGGCTGCGCGAAGAACAGGAAGCAGAATACCAGGACTGTCGTTGACACAGCCTTGCAGCTAGGTGCTTTCCTCAAGCTTGAAGCCTCACCTCACCCGTCACAGTGCTGGTTCAGGAAAGCCTTCGCATCGATCGGGAGCGTGCGGAGCAGGAGGCTCTCAGGCAGCGGGCTCTTTTAAACTCGGAATACTGCAAGTAGGGACAAGTAGTAAGATCAGCAGTACTTGGTCATGACAATATTTACGTCCTTTGAGCAACAACCGCTGCAAACCATCGCAATGGCAAGAGCCATGTTTGCACTAGAATGTTAGAGACAATAGTCAGAAAACTGCACAGAAGAGCTATGATGATTACAATCAGGAATCTGACATCGCATTCCATGGAGGCGGTAGTGGCAGCAGTAGTGTTGCAATTGCCGTTGCAGTGCCGTGCAGTGTAGTGCAGTGTCGTCGTCGTAGAGTTCGTGTTCGTCGTCGTCGTCGTAGTCGTATTCGTCGTCGTCGTCGTAGTAGTAGTAGTCGTCGTCGTCGTATAAGTGGTCCAGTGGTAGTGGTAGTACTAGTGCTAGTGGTAGTGGTAGTGGTAGTGGTAGTAGTAGGCCCCCCCCCCCCCGTGTGTTGGACACTTGAGGGCTATTTGACATGACTGCGCTGCTTACACAAGCAAGCAGGAGCCACGAAAACCGCGTCAAATAGTCGCTGAAACTTCGCATGGTTCTGTTCCTATTACTGTTACTATTACCATTACTACTACCATTACTATCTAACCATTACTTTAACTATGACGGCGGTCCGGCCAACTTTCCAGCAAATCGTCCGCTGAGTCCGCTCGGTCCGCTGGGCCTGCTCGGGCTGCCATTGGGGCGGTTGAGCCCAAAATCCAGCAAATCGTCCGCTGAGTCCGCTGGGTCCGCTGAGGCTGCTGGGGCTGCTGGCGGCGACTTTCCGGCAATTCGTCCGCTGAGTCCGCTGGGTCTGCGGGGGCTGCTTGCGGCGGGTCCGCTGGTGCTGGGGCTCCTTGGGGCGGTCCAGCCGACTTTCAAGCAA